ACAAAAAACAAAACAAAGTAAAGATGTCAAAAAGAAAGAATGAAGGAAAAGAGGAAGAAGAATTTATGAAGTATGATATTGAATGGATTGCTAAAATTCTTGACAGATGTTTAAAATAGAAATTAAATTGTTATATTTAATCAAATCGTTTAAATAAAATCATACTGTAAATGTGAACTTTTATGTAATAAACATTTTTTTCAAATATTTCATTTTCATATTTTATTCGATTTTTGATGAAACAATTCAACTACCTTAATTAAATCTTAAAATTAACATTTTTCCTATTAGCAATTTTTTTTCATTCATTTTTGATCGCTTTCATATTATGCAACAACCGAAAAACGAAAAGATATATCGTTGAAAAAAGACTTATTTCAGAACTTTAAAATTAATAAAATATAAGAACATAAGAGATGATGAATTGAAATGAAGTTCTATTTCCAGATTGTTGAAAAAGTAATTCATAAATAATGAAAGACAAAAAAAGCAGACAGGAAAAAATTTATTAAAATGATAGAATTGAATAATATATCGCGGATCGGGAGAGCATTATTATTAGTATAACAATGGTAGGTGTTAACAGTGAATAGGATAGAAATTGAACCAAAGAGTTTGTTAGTAATAATATGAGATTTCAAAAATTAAATTATTGAGAAGTGACAAAATTAACGTTTGCTTTCAATTTTCACTTTATATGGCAATTGTAGTAGTAACAGAAATGTTAAAAAGTTGTTTTGTAATAATATGCTTTCAATCTTCACTTTATATAGTAATTGCAATAATAGAAATGTTAAACTATGTGGAAATAGTAAAAGCAAATATAGAAGAAGATCCTATAAGAAAATAGGAATTTCTAAAATGTTGAATTTCTGTTGAAATGATTTCGACGTCAATATTTATCAAATTTATTGATGAAAATAAATCAACTTTATTGAATAGTTTAATAAGTTTAAAATTTCAATTATAAATATGAAAAAGCATTCAACATTAATTCTAACTGATGAGTGTTGAAAATTTAACATGTGTTAACAATTTTATAACTCCTACCTATCTAGGTAGAAAATCGAGAAAGCTTAGATCATTAAGTGTTGAAAAATTTCGTATCCATTTTTCGGTTATTTTTAAATTGAATTTTATTCCCTGAAATCTTTTCCTCTTCAATAAAATGAAAGTGTAGAAAGATGTTAGAAAAAAGCAAAAGAAATAAATATCGGCATCAAATATTTATAAAGAAGTTTATCAGGAATTAAAAAAGACTTGAAAGCTTAATTGGTGGACTATTTAAGTTAGAAAGTTAGAAATGTGTTTGTTTACTACAATCATACAAAATATAATAATTGCTGTTACATCAATTCTCTCTATTAGTCATAAACTTGAATTTTATTTTTCCGGTTATTGAGCTTAACAAATGGAACGGAAAATCCATCGTGCTCTATTGATTCATCAATAAAATAAATGTTGTAGAGATTTTAATAAACTTATGGTATGCTATCATTTGCAATCATTTGCGACAGTCAATCTAAAAATGTTATTGCTCTCAATATGAAATGAAGATTACCGGAAAAATAAACAGGTATATCGAATTGAGATGAAGTAAATTGGACAAATTTAATCGTTGTGCATCATTTTACCTGCCCTTTCCAATGTGCTCTCTTTTCATTTATTTATTTCATTATAAATAAATGTAAAGTTTACATTAGATCTTTGATGTATTATGCTGTCAGCATTATATGATGGAATGATAAATAGGTCATCGTATGATTACATGGCTTCTTTAAAATGTTTATCAATCAATTATCTTTCTTAACATATGAAAGAAAATTTATTGAATCGAATCAGGCGATACATTTCAATACTAATTTAGATTATATTATATGAATTAAAGATTATTATAAATTATAGAGAATAAAATCGTTTTAGAAAAATGATGGATTGTAAAAATGCTATTTGGAGCTTTATCAAAAATGTGTCGCAAAATAGAATTTCATTTCAAATCGGGTATGTATGTGTCGCAAAATAGAATTTGATTTCAAAAATATGATTCATATATTATCTGGAAATCGATGATTTATTATAATCCGGTTTTTTTCCAGATTACATTTGCATTATGATAAAAAATCAAGGTAGCGGTAATCTTGATTGATTATGATGATAAGTGGAGTGATTTGTATAGAAGCGATACGCTAGTCAAATTCAAATACTTCTATTATAATTTAATAAAGTGCAAAATGCTATAAAATTGCAAATGATTATTGTGGAATGAGTTAATAATAATAATAAAAGTTCATGCAATAGTAGGAACTTTATAGTTTCGAAATATTAATTCATAATTAATTTCATTATTTATTACTCAATTATATCAATATATTTTCACTTTCACTCTTTGTTTACATTATACAATGATAAACTATCGTTGTTTTTATTTGTAATTTTATCAATATTATAAATGATATTCAATATGTATGATATTCAATATATCCCATACTTCATCAATCGATACAAAATACATTTTTCTCCTGTATCAATCGATACAAAATACATTTTTCTCCTTTTCTCCTGTATCAATCGATATAAAATGCATTTTTCTCCCATATCAATCGATGTAAAATGGATTTTTCCCCGCGGTGATAACAAATGATCAATTCAATAAAATAAAAAGCGCACAAAAATTATAATAATTTAATACCGTTGAAATATGAAAAACTTTTTCTTACTTTACTGAATAAAAAAATTTTCAGCTCTTTTATGATTTCACATTATAACAATTAACAATTTTCAAATATTTTTTGAAATATAGATATCATTTAATTATAAAATATTTTTAAATAAAAAAAGTAAACTGATAAAATTGATAAAATTTGTGTTATCATATTCCATGCTAATACAATTATCATTTAATTTAAAAAATTTTTAAATATAAAAAATAATTGTTAACATAAATTTTATCAATTTATCTTTTTGTTTTCACTGAACAACTTAATTATTATTTAATTATTATAATTATTTAATTATTCATTTATTATTTAACTTAATTATTATTTAATTACTTGAATTTACAAATAATTTCAATGAGTTCCTTAGTAATCCGAATTGAATAAAACATCGCTGATTTTTCTAAAAACAATGCTTCTGTTATTTTTAGCATAGACTAAGATGAAAGGCAATTTTGCTGAAAGGATTTCAAAAATAGAACTTTAATCGGATTGAGATTGAAATTTTCAAACATGAAAAAATTCACAATTGTCTACTTGCCAAGGATATCCATCAAGCAGGAGAGAAGTAGAAACTAAAGCTATGAAATTGTAAATTCAATATAAGCTATGCCTTTCGATACGGAATACTACCGAAGCGATCACTTTAAAAGAGCATTAGGTATTCATCATAGAGGATATGTGAGAAGTAAACAGCCTAATTAACACTTAAATACTTCCCTTAAAAACATCTTAAAATTTTAATTAAAATATAATATTGATTTCGGATAAATTACTTATCATCAGCTAAATTATAACTTCTTGAGTTTTCTTATCTTCGGTATTGCAATGATTGCGCAAATGTCATTAGGACAATTGATTGAATTAATAGATGTAGTAATGATAAGATAACCAAATCATAATATTTAGGATTCTGATTTGTTGTGATTTAAAATGAATGATTAAAGACAGAGAATGAAAATGTTAATAATATGACAAAAATAACGCTAATACTGCTATATAGGCGATTTATACATCATTAGTTCCGATAATTCATCATGTGCTTAAATCAGGAATTGAAATTGTTTCCAGGAATGAAATATGCACTTCTCTAATAAAATGCCTTTACTCTTCCTTTTCACATACATTATCTTTAATTATACATTATTGATTCATGACCACTAACTAGTATAATAGCTAACTTGGCTCTTTTATTGATCTCATTTTTTATAATGGAAATTTAAAGTTAACAAAGTTCATGACTAAATAATTTCTTTTCCTTTTCTCTTCTCTCTTGTAATTTGAAATTGATTGGAAAAGCACTAAAAAATTAAGTTTATTATTTTGTTATGCTAACATTGTCCAAGCAAATAACGGAAAATGATAATATAAATTGATATGATTACATTTACTGAAAATGATATGATTATGTTTACTTCAGTTCTTACTAAAATTTAGCGTTAATTCATTTTGAATCATCAAGTAGAATTATTTATATTTACTCGAAGGAGTACATTTCCACTGTATTACTCATTTTATTATTTTGCTTTCAACAACAACAGGTCATTTTTGTATTCACCTGGATAACGTCTTAGGAAATTCTCGGTTTTTAATTAGCTAAATAATGCATCCTGTGTAAATGTGGTGATTGATATAACTGATATGATCCTTCAAAGTTCTCCGGATCAGCGCAATCTATTTTATTCTCTTCAATAAAACTATAAATTCAATTACACTCATTAAACAAAATTAAATTGAAATTATAGCAAGCAAGGTCAGCGTCAAAATTTGAATTACTATAAATCAACAAGTTTTTTTCCATCACATGTAATCACTCTGGAAATGCAACACTTGAATGGTATTCTTGAGATTTGAGTGTAGGATTGAAAGTTTTTGAAGTAGGAATACGACACTGACTTCATGGGAGCGATATTTTGAGCAGTTTAATAAATTTAACGGTATTTCAAAATTGATTTTTGTGAACTTTCAAGTATATCTTTATGAGTATAATTTATTGATTGACATTTTTCAACACTTCTGTACTTTTGTAAATTTTTGTTCTTTATAACTTATACACTAATTTATGTGAAATATTTTTGACAGCTAAATCTATCTATTTTCTTGAATTATGCTCAATAGAAACTTGAAAAATTATGAAATTTCAATTTTGAATTTTACATTAAATTTGAAATTTGGATATAATGATTGAGCCATTATTAAGGTATTAAGGTATTAAGTGTAAGGTATTAAGAAAGCTTTCTAGACAATTTAATAGTGATCGCGAACTTTCACTATTTTTCGTATCGTTTAAGCAAGCTTGAATTGAATAGTTTCACAAGAAATTTCTTGACCACTTTCAGCGTCGTACTGTTTGATAATGAATTGATGAGCTATCTGTAATATTAAAATTTTAATTTTCACACTCTAATGATTCTCATATTTTCATACGTTTTATTACAATGCTAAATTTTTGCAAATAATAATTTAATAGAAAATAATAAATTAAAAAAATTTTAAATATAAAAAATAAATATTTTCGCTGAACTGATTTAGGATAGTTTCAGAAGAAATTATATTTTTGTTGAATAAAGATGATGAAGAAATTTTATTGTAACTTTTGAAACTGTCAAGACGTAGAAATATTTCTAATCTAATCTAAGCAGTTTATCCCTAATTTGTGACTTAGGAATAAACTGTTTAAATTAGATTAGAAGTATTTAAAAGTAGTAAAAATATATATTAGATTGGAAGTATTAAAAGCTTACAAAGCACTTACGGTTTTGTCAATAAAGCTAAAAAGGATTGCATATTTGTAGAGGTCAAGTGGTAGTGTTAATTCAAGATCACCTTTTGTTAGTGGACAATTATGAGCCATTTTACAACCATCGATATTATGTCTGAGAAAATTTCATATTAACAAATGATTGAAAATAAATATAACAATGATTTTTTTTTAAGTAAAATAATAATAGTAATTCATTTAGAAAATATTTCTCTTTAACCAAATTATACGATAGTGATAAACTAGCGAAATTATTAAATTACAACAAAAATTGAAGCGGTCCTGGAATGACATTTTCCCATATCCATGTTCCATCATTTTCCACATATGCATAAACATCTATACTCACTGTATCTTTTGCAACCTATAGCACAAATCATTATCATTAATTTGATTAGTTTTTGATCAGCTGAATCAAATCTTATTGTAGTAGCTAAAAAATTGCAACTAGCATGATCTAATTCATATTCGCCAATAATAACGAAAAACACCACATTCCTACCACATTGCCGTTGTTGTAAGACTTCAATTTAACAGTTGCAAGCTCCTCCAATTTAATTGGATACATTAACAAGCCATTTTGATCGAATAGTTCTATGGATGAAACGGTAATAATATCCACTAGAAATATTATCAAAAAGTTATTTGTAATCTTTTAAAAATTAAAAAGGTTTTCATTTATAACATTTCTTGCCGTATCATTTGAAAATTCGATAATTATAGTAATCACTTTATTATATTCGTTTTTATTTTCCGTTTTTATTAGAAATTATTATTTTTATTTGATCCGATCGGCATGTACTATGTGAAAAAAGGAAAGAATATCAGTAAAAGTAAACCGGTAAACCTCTTAAACTTAAATTAAAGATAAACATTACTTCTTACTTCTTTCATCGACTACTTCTTAAAAGGCGTTTTCCACAGTTAACCGTATGTTTCATATATTCATTACTTAAAAGTTATTATCTAAATGCATAAACATACCGGTACTACAGCTAAAAAAGTTCATTTTTGTATCGGTACCATTTGGGAATTTGTCAGCTATAGTAAATTGTAGCGTTGAAATAATTGTTATTAAGCTGAGAAGCATAATCAATCTTAAATAAGGCTTGTTAAAAAATAAATTTTAAATCTAATTAATGAGATATAAGTGATAAATTGTAAATAATCAATTACTATTTAAAGTATTAGTACTCGATTGGTTTCCATTCCTCACTAATATCTGTATATGGAAGATTCTTCTTCATCTTACAAAATTAATAAGCTAACAATCTATCACTAAACGATGATTGCAACTGATCGCATAGCAGAAATGGAATTTTATTTATAATATCAGGAATTTTTATAAGCAAACGAATAATATGATAAGCCTCTTATAAGATGAATTGATAAGGGGAAAAATTACTTTTTAACATTAATATTTTATCATTACGAAAACTATCATTATTAATTGTTATGTATTGATATAACTCTTCAATAGGTGTAAATAATAATTTGATAAAATGCACTAATTATGAGTAAAATGAAATTATAAAGCATTGATAAAATGATAAACAATAATAAATTTTGGTGACAAGAAATTTAGGGATTGTGAAAAGGAGCAATAAAGTTGAAAATATACAGTTTGTTTCCTTCTTATCAACAATAATAAATGCTATTTACTTACAATTAGCCGTAATAAAAAAATAGTAAAAGTTAAAATAATAGGAATTAAATGAATTACAGTAAAATTTGAAAGTAATTTTAATTAAGAGCAATTAAATGTGATACAGTCAATCGATTTACTATAATAATAATTGATCATTTAGTCAGATATCTTTGAAATTCTATTTCTTTACTACTAACAAAAAAAATATTCTGCAAACTAATAATTAAATTACTGATAATTAATTTCTACATACTAACAATTTTTTTTCATTTGTTTTCATTATAAGCAAGCAATTAAAAGAAGTATAATTCTGAAAAAAGTTTGCATACATCAATTAGTCAATGATAATTAAATCATTTGGCATTCATTGTTTGTAATTCAGATTATGTCACACTTTATTTTATGCTTAAATATTCGCAAATGATAAGTTACAATGTCCTTTTTTCTTTGTACGAAAAAATATCAAACCAAAATCAAAGGTAATATATGATTGTTGTGATATCAGTGAATGATAAATTTTCATCAAGAAATTAAAACTTTAAACCATTATTGCAAATTTCAATCCGCTAGTTTCTTTCTCGCTTATTAAGATGAACTGCAAAAAATTGATAAATTGCTAAAGATAACTTCAAGTCATTCAAAAACTTTATTAATGTGATTATCTTGCGATCACTGATGTTACTACTGCATGTTTGCAATAGTAAAATGCCGATTTGAAATTTTTCGAAATTTCAGAATTCCATCACGTGAACTGTTGAACTATTCATGCTTTTTCAGCGTTAACTGTAAATTCTCCCACTTTACAATTACATAAATATATCATAATTTGATGTGCAAAATAAATATCAATTTGAGGAAAATAATTCATGATTCTTTCGAAATGTGTTTCTTCTTCCAAAACTTCCAAAAACTGACTAAAATTTAATCTAAAATTCCAATGCTGTGATGTAAATAAAAGAGTCAGTGAAAGCATCAAGTTATCGAGCTCGAAAAACCTAATTTTGATCGACCATAGTCCTTCTCGACTGCTATATGTAATTATATTGTTATCGAAGTAATTTATTGCTTTTAACTACTAAAATATATATCAATAAAAATTCTACATTTATTGGAATAAAATTTCTCACACAACAAAATTAGTTACTTGATGACAACATCAAGAATATAAGCTGACATTTCCTATCACATTAACAATAACAAATTATACAATATATACCCGCATTACAATGAGATACAATTATCAAATTTATAATCAGCACAAACATAATTTGGAAGACTCTTTCTCTGATACAAATCGGCTTGCAAAGGAATGAACTGGGAGCGAAAGTGGGACCGGAATCCACTATCCCTGATAAGATTATTAAATAAAAAAGTTAAGACTCAGTAAAACAACACCAAAGTGGAAAACTACTAATATGATGACAACATAAATGAAAAACAAAAAATTGATCACTATATTTTTAAATTCCTAATAGAAAACAAATCATTTATTCTAGTTAAGAACATCTTTATTATTCAATTTAAGAGTATGAATCACGATATACTCCTGAAATACCTGATTTTTAAAATAATCACTGCCAGGCCTGCTTCAGATTATTATTTTTGCCCAATTTTTTGCAAACCAAACTTCCAATTACCAGACTTATTAGAACTATAGTTATTAATAAATGATCAAAATCATCTTTCAATACGTCAAAAGTTCCAGATGGAGTAAGTTGAGTGAAAAAAAGATCAGTACCATAAGCCAGCATCAAGCTTGTCGATTCCAAGCCGGAAGGCCTGAAATTGACGAAAATTTGAGAACAATATAATTCTTTCAAATGCGAAATTAATCATTTTTCTGTATAGTGGAGCATCTCTACAATTTGGAAATAACCAATTAATGATGCTACTATTCAGCTCGTTTGTACTATACAAAATACCAAAGACTATTTATTCAAAATGAAATAAGTAATATAATGAAAGTCCGGTCAGTAAGCATATAAGTTTCCCATGCTGGAACAGTTTGTCAGGAGAAATAACTTACGAAGTTTTGAAACCTCGAACACCGTGTATACTTTGATTATAATTAATGAAATCTTCAGAAGCAATAGGTAATTCAGGTCGATATGGAAGAAGCATTTCTTCGGCTAGTTCTTGCGTCATTTCCAATGGGCGACGGGGATCCAATAGCCGTTTGGAAATTGCATATATACTACCAAATGGCATCGCTACCAATAAAGATCTTGTTGACAATCCTAGTTCTAAATTATAAGGATATTGATTTCACATAAAAATTTACTTCAACTCTTAAAAAATCAATTTGAACAATAAGTTCCGACATGAACTGAAAGTAAAGAAGGATAAGAGGAAAATAAAAAATTTGTTCAATTCACAAATACTAAGATAATAGCAAGTACAATTACTTCATCCCACCTCATTATCTTTTTTTTTCTCAAGAAATACTTCCAATAAGATTTACGATATTATGTAATTAATACGCCAACAACTTCATGTTTTCAATAAAAATATACTTTTTAATTTTGTTTCCGAGCTTCTCTGAAAACGTCCTGATTTTGACACAAGATTTGTAAGTAAAATTACTAACCGGTTTCTGTAACGCCTAATGCCGCTACCCCCTGAGGAAATATATACGCTTGAGAGAGGGCTGTGATTCTTTTTGCTACCGTATGGACAAGTGAATTGTAATGAAGAGCATCAGTTTGTTCAAGACCTTCATACAACTCTACCACAGCTATTTCCATACGACGGCCTTTCTCATTCCAATATGAATAAGCCAGCCAATTTTCACAATGGACCAAATGAATTGGACCAGTTATCTACAAATTTATTCAATTATTTTTACATCTTTTACGTCCTTGTTATGATGACTTCTTTGCAAAATATCTAGCAACTACTGAAAAATCAAAAAATTCTCTAAGCAAAGAAATATATGCTACGGCGTACATAATAAGATATTAAATACGGCGTCTCAAAATGTATCATTTTTTTATAAATTCTAGTTAAATCAATTGTGGTGGAAGTAACAACTACTCTAATGACTACGCATTTGGTAAAGAATTTGGAATTCCAAAAAATTTTCTACTTTAAAGAATATAAATGTATTTACTTTGTTTTGTTTACCACTGTATACGATGTAACCTGAGACTGCATCAATGAGATAAATTTGTAAAGTCGAATGAACAGAATCAAGTACTGCAATTGCGACTAGGTTTGGATTTGCATATTTATATAGCACTGAACGGTTACCCAATACTCTTCCAGCACTATGAACTTTTTCTGAAATGTAAAAATTAATGAAATACAAAATTGATACAGAATATTAGTCACAAGACTTTAATAGAGATGCAAAAAAACAAAGTAACTCACGGTAGGATGGTTTTGGAACAACAGCAACAATCTTTTGTTCATTTCGTAAAGGGATCTTCACTTTCCAAGTTGACGAAAGCTGTTTACGAGAAACATTTAGGACAAAACCTTCTAAATTACCAGAAGTATTAAAGTTAAAAAAATGCAGCGGAATATACTGCTCCAGTGTATCCACATTTTCCGGGTACAACGTGACCTAAAATAACTAGCGAAATGAGACTGGATCCGGAATCTCCGATTTCCATAAAATTATAGATAAAACATATGGTTTATATAATAAAATAACCGAAATATTTTATTTATATACAAATAAAACTTACTTTGTTATTCTCATCAAGCATGACGAGGTGATAAATGTGTGTTTGAGCATTCGCATAAGGAAGAATTTCAACACGCTTGATAGAAGTGAGGAAGCTTTTTCGTTCGATTAAAGACCCTGTTAAGGGATTAAAAGATATCAAAAGTGCATGTCCTGATCTCTGAAACATAGCAAATTTTGTACGATTTTAGAAATAACCTTTCTGTTCAATCGAAGAAATAATACGTTTTTATTCCATTTAATTGAATAAAGAAGATCTGAACATCATATCATTGATAAACTCAAACCTTATCATTAGCAATGACGGTAGCTTGTGGGGAAAAATGATAGTGGGCTGTAGTACGTTGTATAAAGAGAGGGATTTTTTCACTTCCCAGTGAGCCAAACAACGGCTTAATATTTTTTCCCAAATAAATGTACCATAAAATTGTTCCATCACTGCTATCAATACCTGAAAGAAAGATATTTCTATTCGCAAATAAGGCGATGAATGCAAATGATAAGAAAGTGACGAGTGCACATTATTACGAAAGAGGTTGAGATATTTTCTTTGTAATTTGATTAAACCTGTAGTAATGCTACTGCTCTTTCAGAACAAACACAGTTGAGCAATACTCACCATAAACAATAGATTTCAATGTTGAAGCAACAATAATTTTTCGTAGATTAAAATAATCCCGTTCATACGGTATATCCCTCCTTCGCGCGTTTTTGCTGGAAAATCGAAGAGATGCCATCCAGCCGGCAAATGATTTCGAACGGAATGGTAAAAAATTTGAAGACGAGAAAATGTGATTTGTCGCACCAATGCAAGCACGACGAAACTGTTCTATTTGACTCCTTAAACGCCGTATTAACGATTCCATTATGGTACCTGCAAAAGCCAAGCAAAATTTAGATTCTGAAATTGTTTCAGGCTATTGGAGCAGCTTGGGTACCTCAGATGAAGAACGTTTTAGTATAAAGGGATTTCAGTCTCAGCAGAATACAGTGCAATCACAAAATAATTATCTCCTTCTTTATTTAACGTAAAGGTAAAGAGAAATCGTCACTGAAAAATGAAATTTGAATCAAGCAAGCTAATTGAAAATTAAAAATATTTCCTGAAAGCAAATTTCCAATATTTTGGAAAGTTTTAACAAAAATTTATGTCAAAAAAATGAAACATTAATATAAAACAAACCATCATCTGAAGCAAATTCCGACTCGATATCAGCATGTGCTTCGGATAAAGGTAAATCAATCATTTCGACTGAAGTAATCGTACTTAATGCATCATGTCTGATCCATTCTCTTGCAAGTTTATTTGATGAACCAACTAGATAAACGAATCTACAGTCTTCCAGAACAACAGCAAATTCGAATTCTTTTGATGTCTCGATAAAAGAAATGATTTTTATAGGGGCTGGATCTTTTTCTGGGATACTTCCTATGAATAACTGTTCTCCACTCACAGCATCATAAACGACGATGTTATTCGTAGATGTCGCAATAGCTAAAAGGTTTTGTCCACTATTTGCCACATGTGAGGAAACTGCTTCAATCTAGAAATAACAGCGAATTTTACCACAATTCGAAATAGAGATGTCAATTAGCAAACTGGATTTGAAGTGTTTATCTCTTCTTAAAATAAATTTAAGACATTTACCTTCTGCAGTTTCAAAACCAGCGCTGGTGGTTCCGATAAACTAATGCGATAAACATAGGTATTTGTGAGAGTACACACAACTATTACTTCCCCTATATTTAAATTTGAGATTTTGACTATAGACTGAAGTGAAGTGTGATGTACAGTGAGTGAATCCAACGATAAATCGACAACATAAAAGCCTTTGCTATCGAAACATTGTAATAACGCATTAGACAAAACGCATCTGCAAAAATATTTTCGCCATGTCTTCAATGATTTATGAGTTAATTTCCAATAACTTTTCAACTGAGAAAAACTTAGTCATAGAAAAAGCTTCCCATCACCTAAAAAGAACACTTTTAACGTACTCATTTTAGATGAAGCTTAGTACCTAAATGCTTATCGATATTTTTAAGCTATTTATTATTTCATTTCAGTCCGATTTTCAACAACTCACTAAGCCCTTAATAAAATGGATTTTTCACCATACAGTTTCACCTTTTCGGATTGAACCAGCTTGCACTGAGATTCTGAACTTTCATAACTGCACCATCCATTACATTAATCTGAATAATTACTAACTCTGCCCCTTCTACACCTCCGACCACAATAAGTGTTTGCGATATTGGTACTAATCCAATGCAGCTCCTAAAATATCCAGATTATTATACTATGATTTTAAAAATAGAACAACTTAATATCCGCTAATACGCAAAGAGAGTTCTTAAGAAAGTTTTAAATGTACTTCCATCACCGAGACACATTCATTCGAAACACCTTTTGCCGAAGGCTACGTCTGATAAAACAGTTCAGGATATAATAAGAAAAATATATAAAATTAAAATTAAGCTTTAATACCTACTCTATGTTTCCCGCATTTGCTGCCCATTTAAGGTGACCATTACTGAGAGAAAGTGCAGTTATATGAGCATCTCTCAAGATAAACACGTTTCCATTTGATGTTGATATTTCAGTTTTATTCCAGCTATAAAAAATTTTGTAATAAACAGATTAGTCTAGATTTTCTTCACTTTAATTCCTATATATATATATATATATATATATATATACCTAAGCAGAACTGCCCATAAGATTGCCTTACATATATCTGTTATTTAATCATATAGACTATTACTTCTTTGTACCGCTCATATATAATTTTGAATTTTGATAGCTGATACACTTCCCTGACGGGAAAGAATTTCTGAATATTTCTAGTGCAGCTATAATGATCAGTAATCTCATTACAGTATTTGAGAAAATCAAGAAAATCGTTCTCATGTTGAGAATGGACTGCTTCCCTACCTAGAAATTTGTTGAATTTGTGCTTCCCAAATCAAAACTCCACTGTCTCGATTCCATGCTCGTACCACTTCACTACCTTTTGTTACTGTTATTATCACTGAAATTCCCTACTGAACTGGTAAAAAATGCGATTAAAAACATCAAAGTAAAAACAAAACGAAATTAAACACTTTGAATTAAAAGTCGAAAAGGAAAAGCTATAATGGAAATGAAGGATTGATTACATTTGGTCGCTGGTGAGAACGATAATCGAAGTGCAGACGAATGTTCCAGCTGCTGCCTCCAAACTGTAACAATCTTACAGTAGTTAGTGGACGAAGGAACATTTACCTGTTCCGTATTTATCCATACTATATTACTCTCTGCTTATACAATCTTTATTTATCGCTGTATATCCACTAATAGATACATATGTATTCTCTTCTCTCATCATTATCATCCATTATATCAACAACACTACAACAATATATAGTAGTTAACTTTCAGAAAACTTCCATTATAAACACTCAGAGTAAGCTAAAGGAAAAGTAGGAGTGCATACTGAAAAAGCAAAAATTCCACATCCTTAGCATTTGCAACTCAGTGTATAATGTTATGAAATAGCACCTATCCCTCCAGTCGATGCTTTCAACGACGCGATCATATCAGCTTCCGTTGAAACAAAGATATGTAACTTCGTACTCTTCAACCGTTCCATATGAACTTCTCGCGCACAACCGACATATTTACGATGCCTGAACTACATCTATTTCAGAAATTCATTTCAAAAAACAAGTGTGCTTGCTTATACAGTAAATGAAAGGCAGAAAATGAAAAATGAAGGACAATCAATTATTTATGAATCTAACCAGTCGAATTTGCCAATCTGGTCTTCGTATATTGCAGAAACTGCTATGCATATTGCGGCAAACCATAAAGGAAAGACCATTATCTAAAATGAATTCTTTATAATTTTAAACTGAATGAAATGGTTGTATCATATGTGAAATTTCGATGATCTTCACCTAGTGCATACATTAAATAATCATTTGTTTTCTTACTTTCACTTAAAAGAAAAAAATGTTCCGTATTTGTGTAAATATTTGTATATATGTATGTCAGCAAATCTATCTAGAATTTCCTCCATCTCATAGGACAGTCTCATGCCTCACGGTTACAAACAACATGCAAAGAGTGAAAGAAAGGTTCATGGTAAGCAGAACAATGTCAGCTATCTTGATATGGGATGAACAGAGATGGTGGTAATGCTGTGCTTCGGCGTCGTGCGGTGTCCGTAGATAAGTTTCAAACTTAGGTTGAGACAATTAATATTGTCGTATAGTCTTTTTCAAAATATCTCTCTTATATTGGAGCGTCTTTTTCTTTTTTAAACAAACATGTGAATTCAGCATTTCTCTGATCTCGAAAAGATTATTTCTTTATTAGATGGTGTTATGCAACATGCACGACTGAAGAGCAGTACAGAGGAAATTTGGAATGAATAGATTGAGTTGTCATCTCCTGTGGCGTTGAAATATGATGTGTTGATTTGGAAAGTAGGCTTTATCACTTAACGCACAGCGAACTTATGTACAACTAGGGACTCACCCTTCAGCTACGAATTCATGCTAATCATCCCAAGCCAGTGACAGTATGCAATTGGGCCCTGGGAATGGTATTGTCGATTTATTGATTGGTGGTATGATTATTTTCATCATGAGGTAGTCGTAGTGATGTTGAGATATTCTATAGACCAATGGGGACTTTCGAGTTTGTTGAGACATTTTAGAAATGGCAGGGGTTGGCGATTCCTAAAGTATTGAAATCATAAGTGTGTGATATGATGTTTATAGTTGCTACGCCAAGATATGAGGTGCATAAAGACGTGATATGATATTTATAATTGTTACCATATTGCAGAAGCGAGGGAGAGATACCTAAGATGTCGTTGATAATACCGGAGAAATTTCAACATATCCATCGTGTTATGAACACGAACATTGATGGTAATAGAAAAGTACCATTCGCACTCACTGCTATTAAGGTACATTCTATACTCTGTAGCAAGCTTATTTATCGATATTTATTTTTGGTCAAATTACTATCATAGATGCGGTATAGAAGACGACCAAACGCTTTGACGACCTGCATAAAATATAATAACTTCAGGGTGTTGGTAGACGTTTTGCTTTTGTTGTTTGTCGAAAGGCTGATATTGATATTAATCGACGTGCCGGCGAACTGTCAGAAGAAGATTTGGAGAAACTGCAGCAAGTGATGCAAAATCCTAGCCAATATAAAATCCCGAATTGGTTTTTGAACAGGCAAAAAGATATCAAGGACGGGAAGTATTCCCAGGTTACTCATTTTTAAATTGCAGGTTTTGCTGTGTCATACATTAAATAAATGAGTTTTCTGACTAATTTCATGTTTGCACTCATCATAGTTACTCCGGTTTTCAGGTGCTTTCTACATCGCTTGATAATAAACTTCGTGAAGATTTAGAAAGACTAAAGAAAATTCGTCTCCATAGAGGTATGAATATTTTGATCCAAATCAGTCGATTATTGGATAATGGTAGGGAAGGGAAAAAAAAGAAATTATTTCTTTTGGTGTGCAAAACACTGTATCGTCTGTAGCCAATTAATGCTGCTGATAGCCTGTTTGTGAATCTTGTAAAGCGATGACTTTCAGCTTGAAGAGATTTAACTTTGGTTACATTGTCGCTGTTTTTTAAGGACTTCGACACTATTGGGGACTTCGTGTGCGTGGACAGCACACTAAGACAACAGGTAGAAAAGGTCGCACTGTTGGTGTATCGAAGAAGAAAGGAGGTTAAAAAACCGTGATATATTCCTTAATCTTGTTTTAATATCATTTTGGATGAAATAAAGTTTGTTAACATTGGTCGCCACATTATACAATCAATTAGAGCTATAGTTCTCAACTTCGATTGTTTATATCCATTGTATCTGTTGCCGGTGCGTTGAGAAAGAGAAAGAAGTTTTCTTAATTGTACCGAGATTTTACATCAGAGTATACCGCGAGGTGGTAGCTGACATGTCTACGTGATGTATTCAGTTTCACTATGCGTTTATGTGATTGTAGATGTGCTGATGACTCTTGGCATCGTGATGTGTGTAGTCTTGTGTGTGACTGGTTTATCATCGTCTAGATTTAAAATTTTCATTGTCAATTTCCAATATTTTAAAGGTTTATCGACGGGTTCATCATGGATTCCTATGATGTGATAGCAAATCAGCCAGTTGTTATCGATAATGGATCCGGAGTAATTAAGGCTGGATTTGCTGGTGACCAGACACCGAAATGTCGTTTTGCTAATTTTGTTGGACGACCGAAGCATACAAGAGTGATGGCTGGTGCTCTCGAAGGCGACTTGTTTATAGGTGAAGTTCTTTTCCTTTGTCTTGTGCGAAATCTACACATTGCCGAATTGTTCTTAACAATTTGACGGTACTTTCCTTACTTTTGCTAACTACCAGCTTTCTGCATTATAAATTTGTGCAAAATTTAGTAAGGCATATGCTCATTTAGGTCCCAAAGCACAGGAGTATCGAGGACTGCTGGCGTTGAAATATCCTATGGAACATGGCATAGTGACAGATTGGAATGATATGGAACGCATATGGCAATATATTTATAGTAAAGATCAACTGCAGGTATTTTAGTTTGTGTATATTTTGGTCTTTTCTTGACCATATTTTGTTTTGAACGAAACACTGATTTGTCGATAAATTTTGTTGGTCATATTCACAGGCTTTATATTTTCAGATATTTCCAGAAGAACATCCAGTACTACTTACGGAAGCACCGTTGAACCCACTTAAAAACCGAGAAAAATCGGCTGAAATATTCTTCGAAACTTTTAACATACCTGCACTGCACATTCAAATTCAAGCTGTTCTTTCGCTGTATTCAACGGGTCGTACAACAGGCGTTGTTCTGGATTCAGGAGATGGTGTAACACATGTTGTGCCTATCTTTGAAGGTTTTGCTATGCAGCATGGGTTTGTTTTTATATATAAGTCTTCCATTTGTTCCAAGCACTTCAATTTTTAATTATCTGATACTCGTATTCTTTTTCCATTCTGATCAACTTAACTAAGAGATTAAAGCGGATTACATTATCAGTTTTTTAAAAAGCTTTGGTCGTATGATGATGCTGCCAATGAAGACGCACTGCAAGGATATCGTTATAATTTGAAAAGTATCTTAATTCTTAAAGAAAAAACTTTGAAGTGCAAAATATACCTTAACGTAGTGAAATGAGGCTTGATAATATTGTATCTTTCATCATCAAATTATTATCGACATTACTGGTGATGGTTCTCAGTGTCATCGGCGACTGCCATTTTTGCGCCTGATATAACTGAAATTTAATTATGATTAATTTAGAATTGAGAGAATGGATGTCGCAGGACGAGATGTAACCAGGTATCTTCGTCTATTACTTCGCAAAGAAGGAGCTAACTTTCATCGTTCATCAGAATTTGAAATCGTCAGAGAAATTAAGGAAAAAATGTGTTACATTGCGACAAATGCTGCAAAAGAAGAAAGTAACGAAAGCGAGAAAGTACGTTTCGCTTTGTTTGTCATTATTATAATAATTGATAGGATAATTTTTCCCGAGAATTTCTGACGGCATTGAATAAATCATTTCACTATTTCAGCGTTTTTAAATTCAGGCAGCGTATAAACTTCCCGATGGTTCGACACTCGAAATTGGACCAGCTAGATTTCGTGCTCCCGAGATATTATTTCGGCCAGACATTATTGGGGAAGAATGGCCAGGCATCGCTAGTGCTCTCGATTTATCCATAAGAGTATGTGCTTTAACATTTTAGAAATTGTTGGAATGAAAACCATATCATTTATTTTTATTCATCAGTTGTCCAGTGTTATGCATGCTAAGTTTATAGTTTAAACGGCTGCTACAACCTTTAATAAAGTGAAATCGCTTTCTCAAAGGTGTAGGAATTCATGAAATGTAGAAATATGTTAACTACATACATCAATTTTTGAAATTTATTGGATTTTTTAGATAAACCATACACTTGGGCAGTGATTTCATGCCTTAAGCAAGCTTCTCTGCACATTATATTTCTGAGTAGAATTCAATAATAGCTTCGTAACCATGAACGAAATAAAACGTTTTATCATAAATTCATAGTTCTATCTTATTTGGAAGGTTTTAAAATTTAATTATTAGTAGCTTCATCTTTACTGCATCCAGAAAACTTACTATTATTCCAACTTTACTTTTGATTTGGACTTTATTTTTGCGATCACAATTCTTTGTCATTTTTACTGTTTCGTTAAGTGTAATTGAAGAGGTTGGCTATTGCAGTGACTAGAGAAAAATTCCAACTTTTTTCTTACTAAATATGAAATTCTATCCTTTTTTCAGCGTTGTGAAATAGATCTGCGCAAAAATTTGTATAGCAATATTGTATTAAGTGGCGGATCGACTATGTTCACTGGATTTGGTGATCGACTGTTAGCTGAAGTAAGTTTTACTAATTATATACTGCTTGGTTCATTCATATTTTGCTCGACAAGATAAATTTTCTTTTTCAAGTAAAATTGATGGAAAAAAATTCATATCGATTACAGATGCGTCGATTGGCACCTAAAGATGTAAAAATTCGAATATCCGCACCGCAAGAGCGATTATATGGCACCTGGATAGGGGGTTCAATTCTAGCCAGTCTTGACACATTTAAGAAAATGTGGGTTAGCAAAAAGGAATATGAAGATGAAGGCAAAAAAGTATTACACAGGAAGACATTCTAAGTGAATCATCTTGAAAAACATGCAAGATTTCTCCAATGGCAATGGCGAGCTTTCGATACATATTCCATTGTTCTTTAATTATTTTTAAATTTATCACATTTATAACGTTCCCTGTCTTGTTAAGTTAAATGATATAAAAGAAATGTATAAATTATAAATCAGAAATACGAGAAGCAATTTTAGGTGCAATTATTTACTCAATAATAGGATTTGCAAAATTACTCGGACAGTGCAGGCAACTCTTGTTTCTTTCATGTCTGGCTGTTGTTTTCATCATTCTTTTCAAGATTTTGTGGAGAGATTTTTTATGCAAATTTCGATTATGTAATGGAAAATTCCTTGATGCACTTTGCTTTATGTTATAGATCTCTTGTTTCTTTCCAGTAAAAAAATACAGCAGATACAGATTCCTTTCCTAATTTTATATAAAAAACCTTTGAGTACTATTGTTTGAAAGTCAAATAGTGAACCCATTATTTTGTCATCTTTGGCAAAATATCATTTATGGGTCCTAAATTTCTGTGTAAATATAATCTATCGGCAAACTTTGGTCAATCTTTGTTAAAAAATGGTACAGTTCGTAGATAGGACCTTTTCTAAATCCACGCTGTTGTAAGAATAATTTCAAGAGGATATCCGTTCAGATGAAATTATAAGGTTGTATAGTCTTATTATTATAGAAGTTTGGGTAATCCGTTGTTTGTATGCTTCGACTAAGCTTTTATTTTTTATTCAGTTCATATGTGTTTATCTTTATCTGTGATTAGTTGACTGTACTGCTTTAGGTGTCTGGAAAAGTTAGATGATCGATCGAATGTTGATCGATTGAATCTTTCGTTAATAACTGAAATGCATATATATGTGGTCCTAGAATTGAAGTAATTCGCTTCAAAATCTATGTATTTCTTAAAATATTTGCCGAATGAACTGCTTATATTTCCAATAAAATTTTCTAGTCATAGTTGAATCTGTTCTTCTAAATAATGTTTTAATTTTGGATTTTATTGTAATATATTGTATGGAAAAAAGCCTGCATTGATAATCAATTCCCCTATTGGCCACGAATTTATCACTTGCTTCAATAACTGTGCTAGAAGTATTCCAGAACATTTGTAGCTCAGATGAACATAAATCAATTAATCGTTTGAGACTATTGACTTTCATCTGACGTTAGTCACTCTACAAAGTTTTAGGAACTCTTAGATAATTAGTTTCCAGCAGTTGCAAAAATCAGAAAACCGCATGCAGAAATGAATTTTTCGGAATTTTTCTGCAGTTGACATCTCTAGCATTCGTTGCTGAGAATATTTAGTAAAGTGAAAAACATTCTTAATTCCAAAAGAGGAAAATTTTTAATATTAACTATATATTTTAATACTAATTGCGAGTTGTGCACGTTGTTCGCGGTCAACATTAAAATAGTATTTTTTTAATTTTAATATTATGGAATTCAAATAATCTCTACCTATTGATCTATAAGAAGTTTTTAAAAAAAATTTGAAAAACATGCAGTCATTCCGATTTAAAACAGATTGCCAGCTTTACACTGTACACTTCCTCTTCCGCTATTTTCATCAATAAAAACGCGAAGTATTGAGTTCCTTCATTAATTTGTAGTTAGACGATTTAATGAACGGCTGGTGCTATAGTTATCGGTATATATTTTGTTCATTAGTATTTATTTGTTCGATGTAAACCTATCAAATATCGATATTTCATCTCATTTCTTTTTTTTCCAATTTTTTCATAAGAAATCGAGTTGTTAAACGAAATAGATATAAGTATGGTACATTTTGTTCTCATAAACATGAGTTTAAAGCTATAACTTTAACTATACCATAAGTTACAATGAAAGTTGTAGCTTCTGGACTTCACGCAGGTGTAGTTTTATTGTATTAATTGAATTTCTGGATTTATAAGATATGCTTGGAAATTTCACGGTGAAATAAGATTTTGATAAAAATGAACCGGAATGTTAATCTAAGTTCAAATTCTGATTTGACGTAAAAAATTTAATGAGGAAAAATATTAGTTGGGAACTGAGATATTATCTATCACAAATGAAATTTTACATATTTATATTTTCAAGCTATAAGACAAAATGTGTAGATAGACTTATGATCACAGATTATACTATTAAAGAATTGATTCAAAAAAAAAAACATTAATTCCCTCTGGAAAACGAATGGCTATTAAGGAATGTAAGAGAAATGATGAAACCAGTTGATAAATACAAAAGTAATGAATCAAAGAGGTATTATTTTATTAATTTTAATTATTTGAAAATAGCAAACTGCTCTCATGCATATCAGCGTTAAGACTTAGTTGAGGCAGGCTAAAACAAAGGTGTACAAATATATGAATTTTATCTGTTAGCAGCTTATCTCCTAGTATTACACTTGTGATCATTAAGTTTTTTTACTTTTTCATAATGCATCGATCGAAATCAAACAGTTGAAACAGTCAATACTCTATAAGGTTTTTTTCAAGAAGCACATAAATGGTTATCTTTAGCATCATTGCATAATTAGAAAATGTAATGAATTGAATGACCAGATGATAGTCTAGTTGACCATAGAATTGTAACTTTTAAAATAATCGCATGATTCTGTCGAAGTTATTCGAAATTATGCCTGTATGTAATATTGCTTGCAAAAAATCAAAGGAGTAACATTATTGCTTGAAGAATTCAGCAATGATATCATTACCTTGTTTTTTTTTTTTTTTATGGGATTATAGTTACATTCCATGATAACTATAATATTTGATTTCAACATTAGTTTTACACTTTTGCAAACTTTTGAAGATTCTTCAGTTTTTCTTTTAGGATTTCAGCAGGTGCAGATAAGAAGCGTAAAATAAAACATCGTGAACTAAAACATAACCATAAAGATTCCAAGAATAGGAAAGAGGAACTTCAAGATGTGAAAAAGCTAGGAAACGAACAAAAAGCAATTGGGGATACGGACAAAAGCAAAAACAAGAAGATTCCTCCAGGTAGAATGAGAAAGTTAAATGAGAAAGTTAGCATCACTTACGATAGATAGTTAATCATTCGGTAGAATTTTCTAATAAATCCAAAGCAAAGCACAGCAAATCGAAAAATATGAGTGATGATTTCATCAGGGAGGATTGTAAAATTTGATTTCACTAAACACTGATTTGTAACATTGATTTATCCAGCAACAAAAATGATTTGTAGTGATTTGTCTTATATCTTAGTATTTGAAACTGAAAAGGAGCTTTAACACGGATACTTTAATATCATATCCAACATATACTTTATATCAAATTAATTAGGTGGCATTATATTAATTGCAACTTATCTTCGATATCTATCTTTTGAATGTTTCTTATCATAAATCTTCACTTTTTGATAATATGTAGCTGAGAAATAGAATTCCTTTCTATAAATTGATTGTGACTTACTAAGATTTTTGAAAACATGATATGGACAACGTTGTGAAAAATTTTTTTTTCAAATTTTAGACATTCAAGAAAAATCAAGCGATTCCTCCAGAAAGAGAGTGGGAAAGAGTAAAGGAAAGTTAGATTCAAGAATTGATAAGGCAAAGAAATCGGAAGTTAAGGATGTACAACTTGCTAAATGTTCTAAAAGTAACTCAATGAAAGATTCAGCAGAGGTCAAGAAATCCAAAAAAGAAAGCATAAAGAAAGACAAGAAGTCAGCAGTGAAACCAGCAAAGATTGCTGGAATTTTGGAGAAGTTTGCAGAAACTTCGGATAAGAATAAAGCAGAACGAATAACTTTGAAACAGAAGGGTGTAAACAAGTCTGGCAAAGGGTCGGA